GCTTTGTGCCGGGCACGCCAGAGACGCTGTCCTCGTGCAGCTGATGTGCCCGTGCCGCGTCCGAGACCCCGGACCAGCGGCTGTGGACGGGACAAGGGCAGTGTGGGCCGACCGCCTGTCACTTGGACAGCACGGCGTCTTTGGACTGGCTCCCCAAGTTCACGCTCCGCCGTGCGGTCTGCCTGCCGCTGAAGCAGACGCCATAGCCCCTGCTCTTGTCGGGGAGACACCCTCCCGTCTAGCCTGCCGCCCCTCTGCAGCCGGGTGCAAGGCAAGCGTTGGGTGGCCTGGCATTCTCCCCCCACCTCCCCTTTCTCACCTCCCCGGCCTCTACACTCTGGTTCAGCCAGGTCTTCACTGGTAGTCACTCATGGTGCTGGGACTCCTGGCAGTGTTTTGCGTCTGAATTAGAGTTCTGGGCCCCCACTGTGGTGAAGGCAGCCTGGGGAGATACGCCCCTTGGCAACCTGACCACCCCTTCCCCAAGTCCACCAGCCCCACAGGAACATCCCCTCGGCTGCTGCTCTGCACACACTCTGGGGCTTCCCAAAGCAGGGGCTGCGTCCCAGTGGGCCCAGCTTGCAGACATGGCTGTGGGCCATGCACGGGCACAACTCCATGAGACGCCACCCCTCTTCAGGCCTTGCTCTCCCGAGTTCTTCTGGCATCGTACTCATGTGGCCCTGGCTCAGGCCTCCCTTGGGCACAGGGCAGGCCTTGGTGGGGCAGCTTCTTCCCTTGAGGACAGGGCGGGCCTCGGTGGGGCGGTGTCTTCCCTCGGGCACAGGGCAGGCCTCGGTGGGGCGGCACCTGCTGGAGTCTCCAGGCTGTTCCCATGACACTCAATCACCTTCTACTCACCGGTGCACTGGAGACACACAAGTGTCTCTTAAGTTCATTTAAACAAAACAATGAATTGCTTGGAGAAAAACCCCCTCGCTTGCTCACTGGACAGATATACATGGAGCGCCGTGTTTGTGGTACCGCCAGAGGCCTTGGGCGTCAGAGCCGGGACCAGACAGACACGGCCTCGCCCTCAGTGGACACGAGCGAGGTGTCACACAGTCATGGGGGGATGCATGAGGCACGTGGGAATTCCTGAGACTGGAGGGAGCCTGAGTCCGTGTTTCTGGAGAGGGGGGCGTGGGCAGGACAAGTGTGCAATGAGCGCGCGCCACACCCCAACCTTCTCTGGCCAGCAACCACCTGGCCACAGTGGGGCCTTCTGTTTTTTCAGTTTAAACTTTTAGTAACTACAGAAGCCTAGGTCCCTCTGAAGCCAGTGCCACCTCGCCGGACCTCTCTGGGCCCTGTGGTCCACCCTGTCCCAGTCTCCCAGCTTTCCTGCTGCTCAGGCCCAGACCTCTCAGACCTGAGCCTGCCCTGTGACCTGGGCTGGGGCAGGTCAGTTAGACGGAATTCACACGTGTGTGCTCTGAATTTTAGAAACGACCTCCCTCACCACCAACCGACAAAAGGAAAACTTCCCATCGCCATCCCCGGCTCCATCCTCCGTTCAGAGCCTTTCTTCCTGAGGGGCAGGAGGGCCGGAACCGCGCCAGGCGGGGGCAATTCTCCTCTCCCAGCAGAGTGAGTCTAGCCGCTGCGACGTGGGCAGCCCTGCTCCCTGGTGGTGACCTTCACCCCCTCCACGCCCACAGCAACAAACAGCCCAGCGTGACTTAGCGCTGCCCAGGCCTCGCATGGACACAGGGTGGGCCCTGCAAACGCCTAGAGAAAGTGGGGGCTCTTTGTCTCCCTCTCCCCTTCCCAACCCAAGGCGCTTGAAAATTTTCTTTTTTTTTTTTTTTTTTTTTTTGAGACGGAGTCTCGCTGTGTCTCCCAGGCTGGAGTGCAGTGGCGTGATCTCGGCTCACTGCAAGCTCCGCCTCTCGGGTTCACGCCATTCTCCCGCCTCAGCCTCCCAAGTAGCTGAGACTACAGGCGCCCGCCACCACGCCCGGCTAGTTTTTTGTATTTTTAGTAGAGACGGGGTTTCACCATGTTAGCCAGGATAGTCTCGATCTCCTGACCTTGTGATCCACCCGCCTCGGCCTCCCAAAGTGCTGGGATTACAGGCTTGAGCCACCGCGCCCGGCCTGAAAATTTTCTTAAAGGCAGATGGGTTTGAATACCCAGACAACTGAACAGGGACCGTTCCTCCCGTTCTTTTCCTTGAGTTTAGAGGCTCTGAAATTTAGTGTTTATGAGACTTCCTGTGTCTGCTGCGTGCACAAAACCATGGATGCTGTCATTTATGTGCAATTGAAAATATTCAGAAGGACGGTTTTTGTGTATAAACATTTTTTCCTTGCCTTGAGCGCTGAATTTAGAAGCAAACCCTGATGTACACAGAGGAGTGACCACACAGAGCTTCCTTAACCAGCATCCCTCCGGGGCCTCATGAATTTGAAACTGCACACATTTCTTAGGACTTCTTTGCCAAGGTCAATGGACATCCCAAAGAAAGGCCACTGGACCAGCGGAGGCAGGGTGCGGGGAGAACTTCAGATTCCAGGCCCCTCCCCAGCCCGACGGCCCTCCTGCTCCTCCACTCCGAGGAAGACGTGGACTTCCTTCCACCAGGCCCCTCCCAGCCAGCGGAGGAATTCCAGGAAGCAATCAAGGCAGGGAAAAGTGATCAATCCATCTTGTTTTGGATTTCCCCCTCTCCTTTCTAAACTCAGACGGATTAGTATCGAGTGGGAGCTCCCAGGAATCAGTCTTGCATCCTGGGATGTCACATTCTGGAACAGGCTGTGATGGAAGCAGGCTGCCTCCTCCAGGGAGCCACCTTCCACACCCTGAACACCGACGGCCTGTGCCAGCATCGGAGCGGGTAATGCTGTTTCGAACGGCCTCGTGGGGACAAACGTCAAGCCTCTACTGCACTGCCCTCCCCTTAGGGCCCCACCAGGGGTGAGAGTAATTTGGTGTCTCCCACCATTTCCTGGGGCCAAGATTGACTGACTCTTGGGTTAGACACTGTGCCAGGCCCACTGGTCACAGAGAGGAACGCGGCACAGCCTCATCATAGAGGGGGATGGAACTCGGCCTCATCAAAAGGTGGACGGCAGACAGAGCAGACAGATGGTGGGGGCAGTTCAGAGGCAGGCTGACAAGGGAGGAAGCTGGGATGAAGGAAAAGAAGGAGAAACTATTTTAAAAGCAAGAAAGGAGGAAGGGGGAGGGAAGCGAAGAGGAAGAAGGGAGGGGAAAGAGGACCAGAGGAGGGGGGATGGGAGAAGGTACTGGGGGCGGCGGGCTGGGGCAGGGGGAGACACACTTTCCTGGAATGCTTCCTGATCTCCCGCTAATGTCAGCAAAGCAGATCATGGGTCCTGGCTTTTTCCACCACCAAGAATCCCGGCCGATTCTCACCTTGAAGGGTGAGGCAGGGAAAACGACTCACAGGGCCGAGCTGCCCTCGTGGTGTTACACAACCTCAGCGTGCTGCCAATGTTTTTATGTAATCCTCCGACTCTCCCCATAAAACAGACCATAACACCGTGGCAAGCACACTTCAATAGAGCCATGTGCTATTGCCAGGCACGCCGCCTTCCGGGAGACGAATTGCACTGCCGGGCGGCCAGGCGGCTGCTTGAACTACTTTTCTCCCCTCGTGGCTCCAGCTGAGTCAGAAAGATCAGAGAAGCCACAGAGCTCACCAAGCACAGCTCTGTGGAAACTCAGGGATTCTGTGGGTGATGGTGCTCGGGAAGTCGGGCTGCTCTGAGCCAGACAAAGCTGGGACGACCCCTCGTCATGGGGACTCACTTTCCCTCCCACCCCACGGCCTGTCTGCAGCTTGCCCTCAAGAGAGGGTGCGGCTCCTGAAGGAAACGAAAGACCACCCCCGTGTCTTCGCCCCCACACACAGCAGGCACATCCGGAGCCCGTGCTTGCCCGCGTAACCCCACACAGCAGGCACATCCGGAGCCCGCGCTGCCCGCGTAACCCCAGCTCCCGTCACCTCCCACTCCAGCCTGTTCCGGATGCTTTCTGGAGGAGGTTTGCTGGGGCTGCCAATGCAGAAACCTGAATCATCGACAGGGAACGGAAAGCCACGTCGGGTAGTGATGTGGGCACATGCAAACTTTCTCCTCCTGCCTGGCGCCCCGATGCAGCACGGCCTTGGGGGCAGCTGCTCCTCCGGTCCTGCTCCAGGAGGGTAGAGCGAGTGGAAAAGTGCTTGCTCTCAGCAGCTGTGGCCGCTGGCCCTGACCTGTGGTGACACCGGTGCTGCCACTCGGGCTGACCTACGTCCACTCGTGATGAAATAGACCCACCAGGAGCTGGATGCTTTCATAGACTCTGGGGCTCCCAGGTGCCACAACCTGCGTCTCCCGGGGTAATGAGTCCTGCCAAGCCCTGCTTGATCCTCAACTCCATCCTCCCACGAGTCTCAGGTCTCAGCCTCATGCTTCTCCCATAACAACTTTCTAACGAGGCCTTGGGCACCCCCAGGACAGGGGCTGCCCAGCACAGTGGTTGAAGCATTTGGTGCCTTCGAACCTCAGGGGCAAAGGATACGGCACCAGCAGCCTCCCAGGGGTGGCGTCCCCACCCTCCTCTTGCCCCACCTTCAAGAGTGGAGGGATCCGCCGCAGCCTAAACCTGACCACCCGGCCTAAACCTGATGCCCCCCACTCCTGGAGCTCCAAGCCAGCCCCCGCCCCACACTCCTGGACCTGGGGCACTGCCTGCTCCTAGACCCCTGCAGAAGTTCCCCTGGGGAGTAAGTTTGGAGTCATTGTGAGGGCAGGGGGACTCCTCAAGTCTCCCCTGGAGGGGTGGGTGCCGTGGGGCGGGGGGGGGGGGACCCAGGTTGCTGCCTGCTGCTAGAGGGGCCTCCGCGGCCCTTCCCTTTCCTCTCTCCTGCATATTCCCTCCCACAGGGGCGCAGAGGGACGCCCACCCGAGTCCGGCCTGACCCATCGCGCCCGGGGTGGCCGCTGTACCCAGCAGGGCTTCCCCTGCCCCCTGGCGCCCCCGCTCACCGTTGAGCTGGTTGTAGACCACCTCCTCCAGGTGGTCCAGGCGCTGCAGGATGGCCTCGCGGTCCCCCAGCGCGCCCACCTTGGCGTGTCGGCTGCGCACCCGGCGGTCGCCGCTCACGATGCGCACGAGCTCCTGGGAGCGGCCCTGCAGGCGGCAGTACACGGAGAACAGGACGATGCCCACGAACACCAGGATGTTCACCGTCAGCAAAGTTCGGATCTTCCTGGCCACCGCCATGAACGCGGCTGCAGCGGGGGCCTCACTCGCGGGGCATCCCCAGCATCCCCGCCCGGGCCTGGGCTTCGGCTTCGGCTTCTGGGACCATGAGCCGCCCGGGGCTGCAGGGCTCGGCCGGGAGCTGTCCCTTCAGCACCAGCTCAGCGCGCCCGGCCACTGCCGCCCGGGGTCCCCCAGAGCGCAGGGGGCTGCCCGGGGCTGGGGTCGCGGGGCGCGGCCGGCATCCCCCACTCAGAGGGCGCGGCCCCGCCCCGGGGAGCGGCGAGGGGGGCCGGGGGCGCCGGGGGCGGCGGGGGAGGTGCGGGCGGGCGGCGCTCGGTGTCGGTGCCGGCTCCTGTCCTGCCCGCCCCGCAGCCACCGCGCCGGTGCAGAGTGACGCGGCCTCAGCTCAGCTCATCTGCATCCGCGGCCCCGGGACCGCCCCGCCCCGCCTCCCCCGCCCCGCAAGGCCGCCCCCCGGGACCGCCCCGCGCGCCCGCCCCGCCCCCCACCGCGCCCCCCGGGGACCCCAGCACAGCAGGTCCGGGGGCAGCGCGCAGAGCCTGGGCCAAGGGCACGGGCGCGGGGGGCGGGGCAGGCGCGGACCCTCCCTCCCCAGGACCCGCCAGACGCCCGCGGCTCCCAATGGCCAGCGCGGTCCGAATCGACCCCAAGCTTCACCCGAGGGCAGCGGGGCCCCCGGGAATGCCCGGCCAGGGCGGTGTCGCCGGCGTGAATGGGGGAGGGGGCGGCCGGGGCAGGACCCGGGGCAGGGCCGCTCTGGTGGTCTCCTGCCCACCCCCCCCCAAGCCCAGCTCCCGGCCTCCCTCCCTCTCCCCCGTCCAGGGCTGAGGACTGGGGAAGCCGAGTCCCGGGGCGGGTGTGGGGGGTGGGGCTTGGGATGCAGCAGGGGACCCCGAAGCCACCAGCAGGGGAGAAGGCCCGGTCCCTGAGCCAGGCTCGCAGGTAAGACGCGAGGCCGCAAACCCCGGCGGCCCCCACCCCCAGCCCAGGCTCTGATCTGGCCCCACACTGGCGTTTTGTGGAGGAGAACCTGGAATCCACGGGAGATGTCAGCCAAGCCACGCAGCACAGGGGCCCAGCTTCCAGTCGCAGAATGTGAGCACCCAAGAGACAGGAGTTTCACCCAAAGGCAGGGTTCACCCCTGTGTTCCCAGAGACCGGACACGGAGTGGTGCTCAGTAAATGTGTGTGGGATGAGTGAATAAATGATGGAGCATTTATTAAGCACCTGTCCTTGGCTCTCCACACAGAGATGAGTAGGACAAGGGGCTTCACAGCTCTTGGCTCTGTGTGTGTGTGTGTGTGTGTGCGCGCGCACATGAGCGTGCATGCATTTGCCTCTGCGTGCCCATGTATCTGCATATGTGCACGTCCGTTTGTCAGCGCACATGCATGTGCATGTGTCTGTGTGTATATCTGTGTGTGCATGTGCCTGCGTGTCAGTGTGTATTGTGTGTGTGCTCATGTGTGTGCATGTGTCTGTGCATGTATGTATCTGCATATGTGTCTATGTGTGTCTGTGTGTGTGTTCATATCTCTGTTCATGCGTGCATGTGTCTTTGTATGTATATCTGTGTGCATGGGTCTGTGTATCTATGTGTGTGTCCATGTGTGCGGATGTCTGTGTATCTGTGTACAAGTGTCTCTGTGTGTCTGTGTGTGGGCATGTCTGTGTTTGTGTGTTCACGTGTGCATGTTTCTCTCCAGGTATGTGTGTCTCTGTGTTTATGTTCATGTGTGTGGATGCCTATGTGTGTTCATGTGTACATGTTTCTGTGTGTGTATAAGTGTCTATGCATGTTCATGTGTGTGTTGTCTGTGCATGTTCACATGTGTACATGTCTGTTCATATCTGTTCATGTGTTCATGTGTCTGTATGTATATCTGTGTGCATGTGTCTGTGTGTGTGTGCGTGCATGTGTCTGTGTGTGCATGTGTCTGTGTTTGTATGTATATCTGTGTGTGCATGTGTCTGTGTGTGCACATGTGTGTAGGGAGAGCTGGGGGGTTCTGGCTCTGAGCTTAGTAGTCTATTCTTCAAATATCCATTTCTTGGTGTCAGGCATGACAGCCCATCTAACTTGGAGGTTTTCTGCCCCTTCGCTGAGGCTGGGTGAGATGAACACCCATTTCTCCTTTCTTTGTTGAGCCATTCTTTTCTTCCTTAGGACGTTTATCTCAGGAAATGCAGAGGACCAGAACCAGGCAGGACCGGGCACTGGGACGGAGACAGCTGTCTGCAGGGCGTTTACCGTAGATATGTATCACCTGTTCTGAGACGGAGCCGGGGAGGCTGTTTTTAATCATCCGGGAGGTGATTACGATGCAGCCAGTGTGATAAACCCTGGTCTGTTTTTGATCAATAGCCATTCCCGTGTCCCTCCTTAAAATGCCGTATTTTTCTGTTTATAAAATGCAGTTTGTAAAATGTTTCCCGACGTTACGAGGACAGCTGCTGGAATAATGATGCAGGTAGCTGGCACACACGCAGGGCAAAGGTTTCACCAGGCATGGTCTTCTATGCCTGTCACCTGGTTAGTACCAACAGTAGCCACGTTAAGGTGTGAAACAAACTGGTGTTACCCAATTTTCCATGTGAGGAAATTGAGGCACCCAAAGGGCAACTGGCTTGCTCAAGGTCACGTCAGTGGCAAAGCATGGATCTGGGATTCAAGCCCAGACAATTGGGCTCCAGAATCGACTTTATTAGTCATGGTCACTCAAGAGAAAACATCATACGCTTTTCATTACATGTTTAATGAAAATGATGTTAAAGTGGCTTTGTAGGAGAAAACATTTTATTCGTGTAAATACATTTTACTGCATTCTAAAATCTAGCAGGAAAAGATGTGGTCTAACTACCATCAAGATTTGGGTAAATTTCATTGGAAATATAAGCACACTGGACATGGGAAAATAATGGTGTAGTTTACATGGAAGAGAATCCATCTGATAGTCCGGCAAACTATCATTTGCTGGATTTTCAGGACATACGGGAGGCCAGGTGCAGTGACCTCCCCCCAGCAATTTGGGAGGCTGAGGCCAGTGGATTGCTTGAGCCCAGGAGTCTAAGACTAGCCCGGGCAACATGGCAAAACCTCATCTCTACAAAAAAGTACAAAAAATTAGCCGGGCGTGGTGGTGCACAGCTGTAGTCTCTGCTACGTGGGAGACTGAGGTGGGAGCATCACCTGAGCCTGAGGAAGTCAAGGCTACAGTAAGCTGAGATCACACCACTGCCCTCCAGCCTGGGTAACAGAGTGAGACCCTGTCTAAACAAACACACACAAACAAACACAAAAATATACATATGCTGAATGCTCAGTGAGTTGTAACATGTGAGGCAGCCCCCGGCGTACAGATGAGCCCCTGTCTGAGAAGACGCATTACCCCACAGAGTGCAGAGATGAACCCCTGTCTGAGAAGATGCATGTACCCACGGGGTGCAGAGATGAACCCCTGAGAAGATGCATGTACCCACGGGGTGCAGAGATGAACCCCTGTCTGAGAAGACGCATGTACCCATGGCTGCCCCTCATCTTAGCACCACAGTGCCAGCCCCACCCCGTCTTTGATAAACCCTGGCCTTCCAGGGCCTCCCTTAGAGAGCCAGTCCCTGCCAAGTCCACAAAGGTAGCTGCGGTCCGGGGTGCCGACCCTTCGCATTGGGAGAAACCCTCACCAGTAGCATCAACCCCAGTGAGCCGAGGTCACACCACTGCAGCATCACCGGGGAGGCACCTGGTTGTCACTGCAGAACTCTGGAGGCGCAGGCTCTCGTGTGGGTGGGGGCCATGGAGGACGCAGCGTGGGATTTAAAACGAGCCCAGTGAAGGGAAATGCTGGTACTTCAATATCCGTGAGCTCAAGCCCTGTGGGAGGTTTAGCCTCGATTACTCTGTACAGATCTGAACAGCATTCACCCCCAGTTGGACGTGGCCCTTTCCTCGAACCACAGATTGGAACTCAAGGTCACTGAAGTGCTTTCTGGCCACATCATGGAGAGAAAGGCATTTTCTCACTCAGGCATCACCCAGGGAATGCGGTGTGCTGTGTTTTAGCACCTAAATGTGTCCCTCGAGGAGGCAGGGTTATGCCGTGATCACAAGCAACCCCCAAATCTCAATGGCATAAATGACACAGGGTAATTTCTCACGGGATTGCGCGTCCACCTGGGTCACCGGGGAGTTCTGCTGGCCAGAGTCGCTCGGAGCCCCTGCGTGAACACTGGATGGCCAGCCGGGGAGGAGCACTCAGGGGCCTCGCACCGTCCATGCCCCACTCCGAAGCCACACCCGTTGCTTCCACCCGTCACCTGCTGGACAGAGACTGTCACACGCGCCCCGAATGCAGTGGGGTGGGAAGGGAGCTCCTACCGCGTGCTTGGAAGACGGGAGAACCGGGGTGTTTTGGTGAGTAGTGCTCTCTCAGTCAGCACCGCAGCCTTCCAGCAAATCGGGATTTTATGCCAAACCCACCTCACGCCCCGAAATGCCAGGCTCTCCAGTGTAGCAACGAATGACACGCTGTCAAATCAGACTTCAATGCAACCATGTCACAGAAGACATGACTAAAGCAAAACACGACTTTTGGTTTTGACGAGTTTGGGTCTGGGCCTCTGCTTCCCTCTCCTGGGCCAAGATCCTCTGGGTGTGGAGTTCAGGAATGAGGGTGGGACCTTCCCCAGGAGACCCAAGTGTGGGCGGCGGTTGCTCAGACCAAGTCCTCACTGAGAGTGACCTCGACAGACATCCACTGGCAGCTCCAGCTTAGGCCCAGGAGACAAAGTGGGGGTCACTGACACCCCAGATTTTTTTTAATGACTGAATCATTATTTGAACACTGGTCTGTTGGATTTCAAGACCTGTGATTTTTCCACTGCTGACTCCTGGGACAGCAGAGTTTCTTAGATTGGACATAACAACACACTGATCCCCTCCCCTCCTGCTTTTCTGTTTTTAAAATCATTTTGTTTTTAATTCACAAATATTGCATATGTCATATGGGGTACCATGTGATGCTGATATATGTTTAAAATGTGGAATGATTAAATCAGGCTAATTTACTTTTTTTTCTAAAAGGACCTTGGATTCAGAATTAACTTTAATTTTCATTCCACTTTGCTTATTTAGCCTTGGCAAGATCAGTCCTTTGTGGCACGTCCAGGATTTAAGCTTTGGACCACCAATGAGGAGGGCGTTGGTCTGAGCCTGCTTTTCCAAATGCCGTCTTCCCTTCTTGGGCTCAGGCAGCAGATCCAACTGTAAGTGGCTTTAAAGAGACAGCAGACATGTCTGTGGCAGTCTATTCATTGCCCCTGGGTGCCACCCTTGCATGCCCCCATGTGACAGCTGGTGGCCCGCAGCCCATTAAGTCTGCAGATGGGCACAGCAGGCCTTGGGAAGGCGATGCAGGTTCACAGTGTGCTGAAGATGGAGAGATGCAGGGGACTCAAACCCACCGGCCGAGGCACCACCCGCTTCTCCAGGTAAAGAGGTGAGTCCCAGCCGGTGAAGAGATGTGAGAAGTGGTGCCAGGGTGAGAATGTGTGTGTGCCTCTGTGTGTGCCTGTGTGTGTGCATGTGTGTGCGTGTGTGTGTGCATGTGCGTGTGCATGTGTGTGTGCATATGAGCCTCTGTATGCCTGCACCTGCACATGTGCATATGTGCGCATGCGTCTGTGTGTGTGTGTGCATGTGCGTGCATGTGCACCTGAGTATGTACATGTGTGTGCACGTGTCTGTGTGCGCATGAGCTTCTGTATGTCTGTGCCTGCACATGTGCCTATGTGCCTAAGTATGTACACGTGTGTGCATGCATGTGTGCCTGTGTGCCTATGTACATGTGTACCTGAGTGTGTGCCTGCACATGAGCACATGTGTGTGCATGTTTGCCTGAGTATGTACACGTGTGTGCATGCATGTGTGTGCATGCTTGCCTCTGTGTATGCCTGAGTATGTACGTGTGTGCATGCATGTTTGTGTGAGACAGGGAGAGAGAGGGAGTAAAGGAGGGAGAAAGAGAAAAAAGGAGAGAGAGGAAGATGGAATGGGGATAGAAGGGAGTTATAATAAAAATGGAGGACTTTGGGTGCATTTTCTGCTATTTTCTTCTCCCCAAAACACTGTAAAGGGATTATAGAATTTGAGTTTCCTCCCAGCTGAAATTGCGTTTACCCCTTGGGTGCTGACCCAGCTCTGTGATGACTGTGGTGCAATCCCGGTTCCCTGGCAGCACTTGTCAACAGGGTCAAATGCCTGTTCCTTGCTGGTCTCTTCCGTGGAACAAAAACCTCACCTAGGAGGTTTCAGGTTTTGCCTCAATTTATCAAATCTGGCATTAGCGTACCAGATACCACTCCAGACACTTTTCAAAAATGCATTCTCTGCACCTTCAGAGCAGCCCTTCGAGAGGGGGCATCTGTGCTATGCCCGTGGTATAGATGGGGAAGCAGAGGCAGCTGGAGTTTCCATAACTGGCCTGAGGCCGCGCAGTTACAGGAGATGGGGCTGGGGCTCTGCCCAGCAGTCCAGCTGTTAAATTCATCTCTAACCTGCCTCTGCTGCCAGTGAATCTAAAATAGATTTTTTTTTTATCCTACAAAGGATTCATTTTTCCTGTTTCCTCCTGGCCCATGATGTGGACAACTTGCCCCTTCATCGTAAGCGCTCAGGTTGGTGAACAATTCACCCACCAGCATATTCAAACCACAGCCAAACAGTGGCTGAAAATGACAGCAAGCAGCCACTTAGCACAGGGATCTGTCAGTGGGCTGGACGCGACAGGGAAGATTTGGCTCTGCGCCTGGGTCCGGGACCCCGAATGGCAGTGGGGTTGGCTCTGCACCTGGGGCCCGGGACCCTGACTGGCGGTGGGGTTGGCTCTGCACCTGGGGCCCGGGACCCTGACTGGCGGTGGGGGCTGGAGGAAGCTGCGCTCATTGGACGGCTCGGCACTCACACATCTGAGGGTTGTGGCTGGCCTTGGCAGAGACCTGCTCCTGGCAGTGGCTGAGCTGTCGGAATCCAGCACCTGCCCCTCCACTTGGCCTGAGCTTCCTCACAGCATGGCTGCCGGGTTCCAAACTCCAGCCCCAGGAGAGATGGCCAGGCAGGAGCTGCATCATGTTCTCCCATTTCCTGTTCTTGATTCACCCCCACTGGGCACTGCAGCCTTCCTGCCAACACAGCTCTCAGGAGTATGGCTGCCACACGCAGAGGCATTTCCCCACACGGCCCTCCTGTGTGCTGTAAATGCTGACAGCTCCTCAATGGAACCCGCGTATGGTGGGCGCTGCTTCCTCGTGTAAATGCTCCTGTCATAACTGGTTTCAAGCCGACAGTACAACCACCGAGTCCAGAGTCAGGAACGACGGCTCTGCACGCTGGTGGGAATTCTCCCCGGCTCGCGCCTGCACCCCGGCCATGGCTCTGTGGAGCTCTCCGTCCCAGGGAACCTTCTCCTGGCTTTCGCATCCTGCCCCTTCCCAGATTTCCGACCTCTCTGGCTGTGCCTTCTGTGCCTTCCCCGCAGCCCTGATGTGGGCATGGCTCATGTCCAGCACTCCTCAGCACTTCCTTCTTTCCCAGCTCCGCCCACGACTTCCTCCACGCCTGCTCCGTTTCTGTCTGAGTGCGGGCCACTCCCAGGTTGACACCTGTGTTCCACATTGCACGGCTCGGCGTGTGGGCTTGGACAGTGGGAGATGCAGCTTTCCATGAACAGCCCTGGTGTGTGGTCTGGCAAGTGGCGAGGCGGCTCCGTGGTGGTCAGGACTGAACTTGGGGTCTTGCTGCTCTGCTACCCTCCACCCAGATCTGCAGCTCAGAGCTGAAGGTGACATTGTGCCTTCTGGTCAGTGGGAAGGAGTTAGGAGAGGAGAGGGCGGGACCCGCTTCTCTGTTGAGGGTGTGGGCGGGAAGCACAGGCTTCACTCCCCCCCACAGCCAGGCATGTGGGTGACGTGGCAACGTGTGGGTGACATGGCAGAGAGCGGGTGACATGGCGGCAAGCGGGTGACGTGGCGGCATGCCGGTGACGTGGCAGCATGCGGGTGACGTGGCGGTGAGCAGGTGACGTGGCGGTGAGCCAGTGACGTGGCGGCGAGCGGGTGACGTGGCGGCGAGCAGGTGACGTGGCGGCGTGTGGGTGATGTGGCGGTGAGCGGGTGACGTGGCGACGTGCGGGTGACGTGGTGGCGAGTGGGTGACGTGGCGGTGTGCCGGTGACGTGGCGGTGTGTGGGTGACGTGGCAGCAAGCAGGTGACGTGGCGGCGTGTGGGTGACGTGGCGGCGAGCGGGTGATGTGGCACCCTGGGCTTGGGGAAAGTGGGAAGCATTGGCCTCGGCTGAGCAGCTGCCGCCGCCTGTCCCTACATGAGCAGGAGAATGGCTCATGGTTTGCGTGTCAGGGTCTCCCGAGGAACAGTCACTGGACGTGTGGGGATTGAAGGCAGCTCATTCTCAGGAACCGGCCCACGGGATGACAGAGCCTGAAAAACCCAGATCTACAGGGAAGACCCTCAGACTGTCTGAAGGTCAACTGCCAAGGAGGCCCCATGTCAGGGAGGGAAATCGGTGCAGCTCAAAGTCCACGATTTAAACGTCAGTCTCATCCAAAAACACCCTCGCGGAAGCATCCAGAGAAACGTCTGACCGAATGTCTGGACCCCGTGGCCCAACCAAGTCTACATGTAAAATTAGCCATCACGGGCCACGCAGATGCCTCTCTGGGTGGCACCGACTGTGGCGGCCTTCACGGTTCTCTCGAGCTAGAACTTCCCATTCACGGGCAGAGCCTCCCAGCAGGCCCACGGCCCATGCACCGCGGCCCCACAACTGTCCTCCTGGGTGCAGGGCTTGGTCCATGGGGACATGTGCACCAGCAGACCCCATGAGACCGCCCACACATGTGCAGGCCCTGAGCGAGAGAGACCCTAGACCACAGCTGCTGCTGCGCCCGTCACATGGAGAAGCAGCCTGAGGATGCAGAGGAAGAGCCGGCCACCCCCAGAGGAGACCTCGGATGGGGAGAGAACGGGGCAAGGGCTGGCGGGTGACAGGTTTCATTTCTGGCTCCGAGGAGGGCCGCTGTTGCCTCCGACTTCCCAGAAGTGGCACGAACAAAATCCTCCTCTCCCTTAAGCTGGGTGGAGCTGGGTCCACGTCGCTGCAGCTGTGAGTGTCCGGCTGTCCCCACGCGGCGTCCTGAGCGAACATCACATTCTGCTCAGAAGGGACGTGTCACCTCGCCAGCATCCCCTCACAGGCAGGACACCTCACCTTTCACCAGATCCACCTCCCGACAAGACGTGTGGCCGGGGCCCAGGAGCGCCGCGTGGCCGACGTTTAGGTCACTTCTGCGGCAAGTCTCGCTCTCCCGGTCGGCTCCTTGGACATCCCTCCCTGTCACAGCAGGTTGAAGTGGGCCCTGTGAGACCACTGGTGTCCATGTAGCAAGAGAGAAGTGTGGGCACAGACGCACAGAGGGAGAAGGCCGCGCGGGGACCGGCGCAGAGGCTGCAGCGAGGTGCGGCCAGGAGGGCGTGGCACGGCCTTGCCAGCTGAAGGCCGGATGTCTCCGGTGGGCCTGTCAGGCAGGGCTGAAGAAAGGTATCAGCCGGATCAACGGCTGCACAGCAGGCACCACAGTGAGTGGATCTGCTCGAGCAGCGAAGCCACGCCTGGCACAGCAACTGCAGTTGGAGGCCCCACCTGGGCCAGCCTCAGGCACCCATTGCTTCCCCAGGACGCATCTGTCTACTGCACAGGCCAGATGGCTGAGCCGGATGGGGCTGGGGGTGGATCGCCACCGCTGCATCTTCCAAGGACCTGGTGGGGACACTGAGCTCTGCAGCCCTTCTGCCATGCGGTCTTGCTTTTGATTTATGGCTTTTTTTAAAAAAGTAGAAGCAGCTCTGATGTCTCCCACCAGCATCTCCCTCCACCCCAGGCCTCACGCCACAGGGCGGGGAGCGGACGTGGGGTCTGCCAGCTCTAGTGTGTCCGTTCCAGTTGCGCACCTGGAGCTGGGAAATGGCCCTGGGATGCATCCCGGGACCCACTGGGCCTGCGGTGTCAAACCTGAGCTAAAATGGCACGGCCACCCGCCCTCCACAAGCCCCTAAGTGGAGAGCCGCAGTGATGCTTTGGGGTTCCCAGAACCAATGTCAGTTCAGCGCCCATGTCCGGGAGTCCCTGAAAGGTCTAGTTCAGACCCGGTCACCGAGGCAGAAGCCCACAGGTCCCGCAGGGCAGGGCGGGGAAGAGGAGCCCACACTTTCAGGGGGGCCCAGGGCCCTTTCTGAAGGGGTTTGGTATGTAAACCGCACGCATCTGAGAACCTGAGACCTGCTGGAGGGGCTGAGACTGGTTTGATGACTCCATTAGACTTTTGTTAATCTAAAACCTTCCTGCTTATGTAGATTAGGTAAAGATTTGGGAGGCCTCCCATCGGTCCTTGGAAGGAGTGCGGTGGTGGGTCCCCGATGCTGTGGGTCCACGACGTCCCCTCACCTTCAGCTTCACTCCAGTTTCTGTTACTCATAGCCAACTGCAGCCAAGAATACGAAAGCCCAGGAGGAAATCGCTCACGGGTTTTCAATTGTGCCGTTCTGAGTAGCGTGGTGAACCCTCACGCCGCCGGGCTCTGTCCTTCCCGGGTCGGGGCCCTCCCTGCGCCCAGCGTCTCCGTGCTGCGCACACTGCCAGCCCTCGCAGGGTCACGCCACAGGAAAAGGCATCGCGTACGGGATTCAGAACCACCTGGGGCTTCGGGCATCCACTGGGGGTCTTGGAAATAGCCCCCACACCTCACGACGAGGGGGACGACCGCGCACGCGTAAGGCTACCCTGACTGCCGCTTGGCCTGGCCGTCCACGTGGTCACACCTCCCGCCCTCCCCTGGCAGTGGGTGAGTCCCGCCTACGGCTCTGCCTCCCGGGGTCCGTTCGTCCCGTGGTGCTGAGGCTTCCGAGGCAGTGGCCACGTTTCCCACCAGAAGGAGCCATCACAGAGCCCTCCCCGGTGTGGAGTCCCCACCAATGTATTTCTCCCAGCTGTGGTGGCAGCCTTGTCCCCAGGCCCCTGCTGGGGTGGCTGGCAGGTCTAACGACAGGTCCAGCCTGACACTGCAGCCTCCCTAGGCCTCTGGATCCTTCCCTCCAGTTACACCAAGGCACGTGCGCCGTTTCCAGCCCTCTCACTGGGCCACCATGGGGCCTGTGTTCCAGGCAGCCAGACAAGCAGCTCACACCCATCCTGCCCCCCGAGCTGCGGCCTTCGGCACAGGAGCTCTGCGTAGCGAACCCACTTCCGACGTCAGCCCAATGCTGCGTTCTGTTCCTCCGTTACCCACACCCTCAATATCCACCCGGCATGCTCACCCTGGGCCCTGATCCTGGAACTGCTGGAGCTCCAAGACCAACCCTACTCCCCGTGCCTGATTCCCGGGGCGGCCTTCGCCTGCCGCGGACCACGTTCCCGGGGCGGCCTTCGCCTGCCGTGGACCACGTTCCCGGGGGCGGCCTTCGCCTGCCGCGGACCACGTTCCCGGGGGCGGCCTTCGCCTGCCGTGGACCACGTTCCCGGGGGCGGCCTTCGCCTGCTGTGGACCACGTTCCCGGGGCGGCCTTCGCCTGCTGTGGACCACGTTCCGTTCCCGGGGCGGCCTTCGCCTGCTGTGGACCACGTTCCCGGGGCGGCCTTCGCCTGCTGTGGACCACGTTCCCGGGGCGGCCTTCGCCTGCTGTGGACCACGTTCCCGGGGCGGCCTTTGCCTGCTGTGGACCACGTTCCTGGGGCGGCCTTTGCCTGCTGTGGACCATGTGCTCCAGCATGCGGATGAGCTGCTCCGAGCTGCGCGGTGTGTACACGTGGGCCCTGAGCACTTGGGGGTCTCCCGAGGAGGGAGGACCAGCCACTGGCAGCTGATGAGCACGTGGGAGGCTGGAGGAGGCAGAGTGGAGCACCGACATCTGACTTGGGGTGGGGGGACCCAGGCAGGGACCGCAGGAGGGTGGGGGTAAAACACTGGGGGAGGTGGGGGGAGGACCTGCTGGAGGCTTCTGCTGGGCTGGGGGCAACGCTGGGGGTTCCCAGGAGGTTGGGCGGGACCGAGAGTCCCAGTGTGGTTGCCAGGGCTCAGTCCAGTGTGGTTGGCTGGTGTCCGGGCGCCGGCACCTCCCAAGCTGAGTGTGCGCAGATGAGACTGTTTGTTACACAGAGCAGCCCCGGGCCCACACCTGGCACCACGACAGTGTGCGGGCCAGACAGGGCCTCCTGCAGCCTCTCCAGGGCACCCACGCACAGCACACACGGCAGGCAGCCTCCTCCAACATGAGGCAGTCTCCTCCTCCCGCTCGACACCTCCCATGCCCCTCCCTGTAGCTGGTTGCAAAGTGCAGGAAACACCTGCCCGGTTTTCTGTCCCGTGGGTGGCTGAGACCCCGGCACTGGACCCCTGAGGCAACCTGTCTAAATGCAGAAGACACACAGGCCCACGGTCCCGGCCACGGCCCCGAGAAACCCACTGCTTTCCCCTGGGGGCTACTGATCGGCCGCCTCTGTGGCCAGGCACAGGCCAGGGAGTGCAGAGAGGCCCACCCCCCACTGCAAGCCTGAGATGCGGACACCTCACAGCAGAGCAGAAAGGCCCCACTGCAGTGGGCATCCGGGGCCAGAATTTGGCCATGCCCAGGGCAGGTATGACAAAGGGGGCCACGTACACGGCGTCGTCTCTCGCTGTCCTGCTCCATGCACACTTTGATCAGATCAAATCCCATGGGGTGGGGAATGGGAAAACACCAGAAATTATTTTCTTTGCAGGTACAAAAGAGCCATGACTTTTGTTGCCCTAAAAATGAATTCACAGAATGAAGACAGTGCGGGAAACAGGTGTCCTCCGATGCACCGGGCCACCTGCCGTCCCGAGCCCAGCCCGCTTTCTCTTCTCCGTGGCCTTCCTTGCAGCGGAGGCTTGGAGGGAGCCAGTCGCTGAGACTGCCTCTGCGCACATCCAGCTGCCACCTCACCTTCCCCCTCGCCCTGGCTCAATCCCAGGCCTTGGTTTGCAAATGCTGCTCCCGTCCTCCCTCCCCCAGTCCAGAAGATTCCAGCTGGGAAGGGAAGGGCGGAGAGGCTGGCAGTGTCCCCTCAGGGGAGTCCCACCCTCTGCAGGTGATTCCCTGGTGGTCACGGGAGTCACTGGGTCCCTCCGTCCCTGCTCCACCCTCAGCCCCTTGAGAGGAGAGAGCCCTGGGGGTCACCATCTCCCCCGCCCACCCGCTGTCAGCTGGGGTTCCTGCCTGCCCTTCCCAGTGGCTCCTCCAAGGAAGAGGATGTGGCAACCTCCCCCCTGGACTTTGGGAACAGGAAGCCAAACTTGCCGTGAAATTCTCTCCTGTCACTCAACTGCTTCCCCCTCCTGCCTGGTGTGAACCATTCACCAAGGCCCCGCCCTCAGGAGAGAAAGCACAGAAGATGCTGGAGTGCTATGAAGGAGACTGGGGTATGGGGACGCTGTGTGTGCACATGTGTGTAGCTGTGTACACGTGTGTGTACAAATGTGCACACTCATGAGTGTGTATGTAAGTGTGCATGTGTGCGCATATATGTCTGTGCATGTGTGTGAATTGTGAGTATGCACGTGTGTGCATTGTGAGTACACACGTGTGCAGGGTGTGTGCGTGTGTGTATGCACATATGGGTGTGCATACACACGTGCGTGTATGAAAATGCATGTGTGCATTGTGAAGTACATGAGTGTGCAAGTGTGTGAATGTGTGTATATGTGTGTACACGTGCATGAGTTTGTATATACAAGTGCATGCATGTGTGTGTGCACACACCTGTGTGTACATGTGCATGTGCAAATGTATGTTGTGTATAGGTGTGAGCATGTGTATACATGTGTCTATGTGTGGATGCATGTGTGTACAAGTGCATGCATGTGTGTACAAGCATGTATGTCCACGTGTGCATCTGCATATATGTACAAGTTTGTGCATGTCTGTGCATGTGTGGGTGTGCATGTGTGTGCATGTGTGTGCATGTGTGAGTGTGCATGTATGTGCATGAGTGCGCATGTGTGTACAAGCATGTGAGTGCATATGCATCTGTGTACACATACATGCATGAGGATGTGCACGTGCACAAGCATGTGCGTGTCCCTAGGTGCATGTGTATGTGAGTGCTTTTGTGAGTGTGCGTGTATGTGTGTATGTGTGAGTGTGTATCTTTTGCCCACCTCAGAAGGGTGGTGGGGAGCTGTTCCCTCTGGGGAGACCACATCTGAACTGGATGAATGGCGAAAGAGTTGTGTAAAAATTGGGTGAAGATGTTAGCAGGTCGCAAAATCCCCCAGGGCTGAGGCCTTACATGGGATAGACAGAGAGGAACTTTGGAAACATAAGCGCTCCCTCATTCGCTGTTCTAAGCCCTTGCTGAGTGCAGCTTTTCTGTGCCCAGGATCTGAGCTGAGCAGGGATGTTCTGCTCCGTGCAATGCCAGTGCTGACTGGCAGCCACTGGGGAGCACGGGCCGCCCCTGGAAGGCGCTCCAACTCGCATGATTTATGAGGTGCCCTCAATGTGAGCTGGAACAGCTTGCTCCTTCACACTAAATAAAACCAAAAGCGGCACAGGAGTGCGGTGTCTGTGAGCGCCTTGTGTATACAAATGACCATCATCAATCTTTCTGTTCCGTGATGCATCTCTGGGGAGTTTAGCTGAGAAGCCAGAGCTGGAGAGAGCGCCAGGAGGGAGAGGAAGCAGAGCCCAAATGTCCGGTGTGTCTGCGTGGGTCCTGGGGGGTGGGTGCTGTCCTGCAGGAGACGGGGTCTCTGTTGCTCTCCCCCTCCCCACTCCTGCTGTTGGCGGCTCCTGAATGGCACAAAGCAAGCCTGTCTGTGCGGAGCACTGCTGCCGGCCAAGGCGTTCGGCTTGAAACAGTTCTTGGGAAGCCCAGTGAAGGTCCCTCTGTAACAATCTAGAAGGTCACTTCTTAGAACAAAGAAACCACCCCTGGTGTTCGGGCCTGACGGGGTTTTGTGTTAATAGAGAAGATTTTGTCAGCGGCAGCAGAGATCCACCGCAAACCAGCCTAACCAAAGGAGGAAAGATGCTGATTTATAGAACCAGGACTTGCGTAACAAGTCGAGCGCCTCGGGCACAGCTGGATCCAGGAGTTAAATGAAGTCATCGTGCTCCTTCCGTGGGTGCGTGTGGCTGACTCTCCCCATTCTCAGTGGCCACACTCCACAGCGTCACCACCACACAGGCAAATGCTGAGCCTCTGGTCCTTACGGAAACAGGGTCAGGTTCCTTTGAGCCTCTGGTCACCACATTTTCACCACCCATCAGTCTGTCACCTTGGTCTATGTCTATTTCTGCTAAAGACGCCGTATTTAGTGTATAGAGTTGATTCATTTACATTGAACTCACGGCCAACAGCCCACACAGGCCTGAGCAACGCTTCTCCATCGCACGTCACAGCTCCTGCACTCAGGATCACTGGACAGAACCTCAGCTCTGTTCCTGAGGCCACTTTAAGCTGCAACATCACCAACAAGAGCACAAAAATGCGAACGACGTGACGCTAAAGAGAAAAGGATTCACGTTTACTCCGAGAGCGGGCACAAGAAGGCGGTGCAGCCTCGCTCCCTCCCTGCCAGGGACGCGCATGGCAACGCGGCTTCCCGAAGCTCTGTGCACGCCTGTGAATGACCAGGAAAGACCCAGGCACTGACCTGGGGATTACGAATACGTTTTAGCAAGTAAGCGGACGTGTCTGCGTCTCTGCCCGCCCCCCTCCCTCCCACCTCCCCTCCGTCCTGCGCCCCTGAGCTGACTTGATTCCCCAGCGGGGCCGTCCCAGGATTTCTATCAGCAGCTCCAGATTTGCCTCTTGCCCCTAGAGTTCCCCACCAGAAATGCCAAGGGCCTCTTCTCAGCTGCCCCAGCTACAGCCGCCGGCCCCCAGCAGGCATCTGGTTCCACCCCAAGAACAGAAGTGGCCTCGTGGGCTGTGTGGGCCGGTGGGTTGGAGGTGGAGAGGGAGAGGCCATGGCTATCGGCGGGTGGCGGGCAACAACCTGGCCTTTACCCTCAGGGTCCCTTTGCAGGAAGTCAAAGCCCCCACGCTCAGCGTCCGGAGCTCAGCACCTGCCTGCTCCAACCTGCCTGCCCCTCCATCCCCACGCAGTGAACAGTGACTGTCCCCGCTATGCCTGGCGGCAAAGTTGGCCCCTGACTTCCAATCTGTCCGCAAACACCGCGGGCTCCACCCCCAGGTTAGGTGCAGAATCTGCCCAATTCTGGCCACCTCTGCGGCCCAGCCTTGACCCCAGGCACCCTTGTCTCTCAGCTGGACAATGGCCGAGGCAATGGCGACAGCACCCACCGCCCTCCTGCCTCTCCCAGGTCTCAGTCGGTCTCCGGCACAGCAGCTGCCGTCACACTGAGGTCAGTACACTGCCCTCCGTGCCGGACCCCGCAGCGCCCCCCTCCCTCCCAGTCAAAGGCTCAGTCTTCACGGAGGTCGACCGAGGCCACGCAGCCCTCCCTGCTCCAGGCAGCTCCCACCCAGGGCCCTCCCGCGCCAACCCCTCTGCCCGGCGCTCCTCCCTCCAAGGACGACTCCCCGTGTCCTTCTCCTGACCTGGCTGCTCACGGCCACGCAGAGGACACGCTGTGCGCCCTCGAGCACTCCCAGGCCATTCACACGCATGTCCGTGATGCTGTGGGCAGCGGTCACTGGGACCTGCCAACGTGGGCTCCGTGTGCTGAAGCCCCGTGGAGGTGACTGACCGGAGAGCAGGTGCCTCAGCCAAGCCGGGCTCTCTGGGACCATCATAGGTAAAGTTTTCCCATCTGCAAATGAGAATGCAGGGATACTGACCCCGCACCATCCGCCGGGACTCCCCGGTGCTCCATGGGTGGGTCTGTCTGCTGCAAGGGTGCACGACCCAGGTGGGGAAAATGGAAGACAGCAGAGGTCACCTGGGGGCAGGAGCCCAGGACGCCCAGCCCGTGACCACACTCAGAGCTGTCTCAGCCCATGGATGATGGCAGTTTCCTTGTGTGCAGACCCCGTGAGGAACCTGACTGCACGAGGCTCCTCCAGGGCTCCGTGAGGCCCTGTCTTAGGGGCCTTCACCTGCTCTCGGCTTTAAACGAACCACTGAGAATCACCTGTAACCACCTCACAAAGAGAATAAATCTCCGTGCTGGCTTCAAGGCTCTGGGGCCAGGGCTGTGGGCTTTTCAAATCCTGCAGGCTGTGACCTGGGCATTTGCCAACTCTCACTACTGCATAATTTAGTCTAATTGATCAATTAAATCCAGATAATTTTTAAACAAGCTGTAATAACAGTTATATAATTTCAGTACCACGTATAATTATCTTTACCAAAGGAAATGACTTTCGAAGACATGCCGTCTGCGTTCTGGAAAGTGTCACCTCTGGAGCTGCAGGACTGGCAGGCAGCTGTCCTCTGAGCCGGCCGACCCTGGGACGTCAAGGCTGCCCTTGGAGGAGGCCGTCACTGTGGGTCTGAGTCCCGCGGCCCTTCTGAACCACCGCGTCGTGTGGCCTGTGGGGATGCTGTGACGCCTTCTGTGTCATCCGTAAGAATGAGGAACAACCGCCTGGATCCGTGGGATCCGTTTCTATTGCCAGAGTTACACTGTGTGACAGCCACATAAATCCTCAGAGAAGAGCAGGAAATACTCACTTCTGCTCACGATTCTGTGGGTTGGCTGTGGGTTCTGAGGACTTGGTTGGGCCTATGAATCCGTGGCCGGCTCTGGGTCTCCCCGGACTTGGCCATGTTCACCTGTGAATCTGTGGACCCTGTGGGTCCCCCTGGACTTGGCTGGGCTCACCCGTGAATCAGTGGCTGACTATGGGTTTGTCGGTGGCTCCGCTGCCCCACCTGGCTCCTCTGTCTGGGCGTCCGTTGAGATGATCCCACTCTCTCCTGGAGAGCTGGCCTGGGCACATTTCCGTGGTGATCATGGGGTCAGAGAAGACACGAAGATACTCAAGGGCCGTTCTGAGCCCTGCGTGCATCCTGGTGGCCGCCGTCCCCGGCAGCAGAAGTCCACTTTGGGGGACTGGTCGCACCTGTGAGCTGGGCGCAGCCGTCCGCACCCCAGCCTCCGCCTGGTACACCTTGGGTTCCTTCCACTCTGATGCCGCGGTGGTGTCGGGGTGGCCTCTGGGTGCCCTTCAAGGTGGGGGGGCGGAAGCTTACAGGCTTCTGTGTCCTGGAGACCCACACTGGGGACACACCTGAGCTCAGGTCTGGCTCCGTGACCTCGAGCAAGTTACCCCACCTTCCCGTGCCTCAGCCTAACCTCGCTTCACCTGTCAAACGCCAGCAGCCACCCGGCCCTGGCAGAGTCGCACAGGGAGCGTGCAGGGCGCTGACCCCACAGCAACACCCACACAGCGTGAGCCCCGCCCAAGCCCCACTGCTTAGTTCGTTTCATGACAGACACTGGGAGAACCATGAGTCCCCGACACAGAGGAGCCGAGGCCAGGGAGGTGGAGGCTGGAGCTGGTCGCCAGCGTTCAGTTCTGGGCCCGCCGCGGAGTCCGTGTGCCAGGCGGCCTAACAAGCCCTGCTGGCCGGGCGCCTCCACCTCCAAACATGTACCCTCTTGTGGCTCTGGAGGCCATGACCCGCACAGCTGCTTCCTTCTGAGGTGGGAGGTGCAGTCCGTCCCCGCCTTTCTCCAGGGCGGCTGGCATTCTCCATCTTTCCTGACTCTAGACCCGTCTCCCAGCCTCTGGCTTCGTCTCCCGTGGCCTCCTCCCTGTGTGCGTGTTTCTGTGCCCGAATCTCCCCTTTTCATCAGAGCACAGTCATGCTAGGTTCAACCCATCCCACTCCAGGGTGGCCTCATCTTAACCCCTCACGGCTGCCACAGCCCCAGATCCAACCGAGGTCACGCACACGGGTTCTGGGAGGTCAGGGCCCCCACAGTGACTGTGGGGAAATGTGAGTGAACCTGGGATAACCGGTGAAGAGCATGAGCCTCGGACAAGTCCTTCAGCTCTCTGGGCCGTCCCGTCCTGTCTGTGTCTGCGAGATGACCTTTCTGTTCCACCCGGGCCGTGAGGAGGATTGAAGAGGAAACGCATGTCGAAGGCAAGGCACAGACCAGCCACGAGCAGCTCAGGCTGCACCAGCCACAGTTACAGCCATGAGCCACGAGCAGCTCAGGCCGCACCAGCCACAGTTACAGCCATGAGCCACGAGCAGCTCAGGCTGCACTAGGCACAGTTATAGCCACGAGCCACGAGCAGCTCAGCCACAGTTACGGTTGGCCTGAGCGAGGAGGCTGCCCCGACCCAGCCCCAGTCTCCACCACCTCTTTCCCTCCATCTCTCTCTCCCATTTTCTCCTCTGACCCAGAATCCTTTCTGCCCCTGTAGCCGAGGCCCAAAGAAAAGGCCTTTCCTCCTGGTCAGAACTCTGTCTCCTTCATCGGCCCCTTGAGGAGCTGGGAGGGGCCTCTCAGAGCCCCTCATGAGGAAATTCGCAACGTTTCCTCTGAACTGCAGCAACAAAGCTTTTGTTAATTCTCTGTAAGTGTAAATGTTCCCACAGGCCCCAATTACAGGCCTCCAGGGAAGTGAGTTTTCCCAAACAAGCACCATTTTAATTTGAATATCAAACACTTTACACAACAGGGCTGCTGCAGTGGGTTCCCACGGAGCCGGCCCCGGGAGAGCAGGGCACCCTTTGGAACCCTGGGATCCCCACTTCAGTCAGCCCCCACTTGCTTTCTCTAAGGAGGTACCCCTGGGACCCAGGACTCCCCAGGCCTCAGAAGTGGAGGGAAGACAGATTTGGAGGAACCTGGAGCCCCCTGGGGGATGGAGGCCTGGGAGGAACCCTGGCCCACCTTCCTGGAATGCAGCGGGTGGAGGGAAAGGGTCTTGCTCCCAAGGCCCTTGATTTCCTTCTCTTCTACACTTCACCTGCATTCTGAAAAGAGGCTTTCAATATTTCCAGTGAATACGCCTTCTGTGGCACACCAACACTGCCTTAAGTTTTTTAGTTATTGGCCAATATTTTCAAAGCAGAAGATTTTGCAGTTTTTCTGGTGTCTGTAGAAGTAACAGAAAATGTGGCTGCGTAGAGCTCCTGTTTCCTCACGGCAGAAAGTGGTGGACCTGAGTAAATACTGCTGCTTTTAGAAGAATGTGCAAAATCCAGTTTCCCACAATTCCCATCCAGCCCACATCAAACATTTATTTTACATCCCTGGCTTGTGGACTTTCATATTTGGAATCACTTTTACAGAGTTCTCCGACCTCTCTTCAGATCTCCTGTTTCAGGAACAAAGTTATGCGATCACTATCGTAATCTCCACCACTACCCACTCCACCACCAATACCACCATCACCATAATTATCATCATCATCGCCATCATCATCACTATCACTATTATCACCATCACTATTATCATCACCATCATTATCACACCATCATCACCACCATCATCACCATCACCACCATTATCATCATCATCACCGTCACCACTATTATCATCACATAATCACTACCATTTTCATCACCACCATCGCCATCATCATTATCAGTCACCATCATCACCATCACCACCATCATCACCATCATCACCACCATCACCATCACCACCATCACCACCATCACCACCATCACCACCATCACCACCATCATCACCACCATCACCATCACCATCATCACCACCATCATCACCATCACCACCATCACCATCACCATCATCACCATCATCATCACCACCATCATCACCACCATCACCATCATCATCATCACCATTATCACCATCACCACCATTATCATCATCATCACCATCACCATTATCATCATCACATAATCACTACCATTTTCATCACCACCACCACCATCATCATCAGTCACCATCATCACCATCACCACCATCACCATCATCACCATCATCACCACCATCATCACCACCATCACCATCACCATCATCACCATCATCATCATCACCATTATCACCATCACCACCATCATCATCATCACCATCACTATTATCATCACATAATCATTACCATTTTCATCACCATCATCACCATCACCATTATCATCATCACATAATCACTACCATTTTTGTCACCACCACCACCATCATCATTATCAGTCACCATCATCACCATCACCACCATCACCATCACCATCACCATCATCACCACCATCACCACCATCACCATCACCATCATCACACCATCATCATCATCATCATCATCACCATTGTCATATCACCATTATCCTCATCACCACCACCACCACCATCACCATCATCATCACCATCACCATTATCATCACCACATAATCACTACCATTTTCATCACCATCACCACCATCACCATCATCAGTCACCATTATCACCATCACCACCATCACCATCACCATCATCATCATTATCACTATCATCATGGTCTCCACCTCCATCACTACCAACTAACTTCCCTGATACTATCACCACTATCACTGCATATACACACAGAGACTGTCTCATCAGATTCATTTGGTACCTCTGACCCCTCTGGGAGCTCTCTCAATACATCCAGTCCATACAAGTTAGTAAAATTGGGTCAGAGCTGGGGGTGGGGGATTGGGTACAAGTGGAGATGGGTTGGAACCCTCTGTTGAGAATGCTTGTCTTGCACAGTCCTGAAGAAGCTGGTGAAACTTACTCGTGCTGTGCAGCTAGCTTTGGCTCCATGTCTAGCTGAGGAAGGATGCTCATGCCGTGGTTCTCTGGCTGGCACATCACTGTCCTCCAATTTTTCCCTCCTTGTGTAACTGTCCTCCAAAATGTCATTGAAAAGCTGCCTTTTGGTTTTTTTTTTTTTTTTTTTTGAGACAGAGTTTCACTCTTGTTGCCCACACTGGAGTGCAATGGTGCAATCTCGGCTCACTGCAACCTCCACCTCCTGGGTTCAAGTGATTCTCCTGCCTCAGCCTCCCGAGTAGCTGGGATCACAGGCATGCACCACCATACCTGGCTAATTTTTTGTTTTTTAGTAGAGATGGGGTTTCTCCATGTTGGTCAGGCTGTTCTCAAACTCCTGACCTCAGGTGATCCGCCCACCTCAGCCTCCCAAAGTGCTGGGATTACAAGCATGAGCCACCATGCCCGGCCTTGCCCTCTCTTAATCTATTGGTTGGGATAAGGTTGACCCAACTCTCAACTCCAGAAATGGCCCATGACTTGTCTGTCCTGTTAATATATACCAAGCCCTCAGCCCAATGATTGGGTCAGGGTTGGGCATGTGGCCCCAGCCAGGCCAATGAGACTCAATTCTTAGACTT